ATACTGTTCAGACCACTAATTACTTAAAGTCAAATATGTGTACAATGACTTTGACCAGAGCATACTTTCACGTCAGTCGTCACAATTTAATTCAACTACATTAAACGGCAGATATTGACCATTGAAATCGCGAGAAGGACCTATCTCGCGAAAATTAAGTCATTCTGGATTGGCCCGTGCAACTGTCGTAGAAAAATTAATCGAAGTGGCCAACCTTCCCGGATAATTACACAAGAAAACAGATTACGTGGCAATTACACAGACATGGCAAGGCCCCTAACCAGTTTCAAAACAAATGCATGTCAAAATTGTGGTGCTGGAGTACACGGAAGTGACAGCCTTTGAGACTATAAGAGTCGCATCATGTGTGTTTCGATTATTGCTCTCCAGAATCTAATCCGACCTTTCCATATGGTGCGAACACAAATTAACTATTACATGCCATCCGTAATGCACCAGCCTTTTCCATAAGTCATGATGACTTCAACTAAATGCCAATGAACTTATAAAATGGCTAACCGTAGGTCATTATTTTGGCCTAGATCCAAGTTTTTCTTTGCTTTTTTCAGTGTATTTGAAGCTAGATCAAATCATCTTTCGTAGACAATATTCGGACTACTAGGCAGAAAAAAAGCAAAAAAGGATATTCTGGAATCGCTTGCGTGGAGCTGTAGCAAAAAGGGCCTCACTTATCAAGTGTGTGTTAAAGACAAAACTCGACTCTACAATATTAAAGCATGATTTATGAGATCTTTGGCTAATATCCATGCCCCTCGAATCGATTAAAACCTTTCGCCGGTCTTGGAGTGGGATAGCTCGTTGACAATGATTTACTTGTATATGACGTTAAGGCTGCAGTTGGAGCAAAATAAAGAATGTAGTCTCGCCAAAATTAACACTGAGTTTTGCAGAAGCGACATGTAAATTCCAATACCAGAACGAAAACACATCAGTTCGTAGTGAGCCAACAACTTTCAAATGCTCTGTACATCGATCTTGCGTCAAACCAAGAGAGGTCAAAAGCCAGCCACTGAATAGTCGTATATCACCAACTCTGACAATTACAAAGGGGAAATCTTATCGCGTAAAGTGGGTATGTGGTCAATCGAGCTCACCCTGGGTGTAACCGTATGTGGTAAACTCAAAGAGATATGTCACTCCAAGGAATCTGGGAAAATGAAGATTAAACTTTGGCAGTCTTGCCTTGATTTTGTTATCGTTTACTTTCGACGCACATATTGGCTTTTGCTCCCAAGAGAGCGTTTGCAGCTATACACGCTTCCCATCAGCAAGTGAGATCATCTCTCGTTTGGAATTTGAACATTGCTAGCGGCAAGGCTGGCTCAAAAAAAATTGGAGGCTATTACTATCCACCTCGACGTCAATGTCATGCTTTGTACTTCGCAAGCTTTAGTATTGGACGTTGTGTTAGTCAGTCGCCATCGTCAACGAAGCTTACTTCCAAAGAACGGGTTAGGCGACGTACCGATTTCATCTGATGCGCAAATCGAATTATATACACCTCTACATTTCTCGCAGTATTTAATTATAGAGGTACAGCCTTCAGAGAGGGAATAGACATACCTAGCCGTTAAGTCTTAACAGATGATTAACAATATCAACCTATCCTCATCCACATAGTTATCTTGATTAATGACATATAGTGCCACGCTACCTTAGATAATTACCACTATGTGAAAATGGGTCAAGCATGGGCGTGCTTAAACGGATGGAAGAGGCTTAGTGGGCCGATCATCTGATCTAAGCGATATAGTGTAATGTGCATGATCCGTTTTACACTGAAATAGCCTGAAGAGTACATATGGCCTCATTCGCAAACTTGAAATGTGATATGTCGAACAAGCGCAATAAAACGTTACAACTAACAACGCGCTGCCATCGAAATCGCTCAAATGCTCCTAGACACTCAGAATCCGCACTAATTAACGCACAACGGATTTGATTGACCGGGCGCCCCCCAGGCTCCGAGCCAAAAGCCTCTCAAGTTCAGAAATCTTTATTGCCAGATTATCAAATGAAACATTAATAGACTGGAATCTATTTCTTTTCTGTACACTAATAAAACACTAGCTCAGGCTTGCGGTCGCATGTCTCACAGAACTATTATTTTTGGCATACCAGGATTTGAGCTGCTATGAAGACTCATTGGATTACTTATTTGTGCTACTTTCTAACTTTCTCAGCTGAGCTCTATCGTAGTGTACTTACCCCTTTAACTAGTAAGCAGTAGCCATTCTAATTAGAATGCAGGCTTTGGTGCGATCAATATGTCTTGATACAAGAATGCGCACGTAGAATTATACCCGCTTCTTATTCCATTTACATACAAGTGCCAGGTCTTATAAGTACTCTCCTTTTTGAGGGCCCACTGTTCGGCATGTCTTTCGTAGCATATGCATCAACAACTTGCTACTAAAGGCGGATATTTTATGGCGCTTAACTCAATACGCCATACTTCGTCGGCTATGAAGGCGCCCAAAGTTACTCTTTGGCCTTACTGCTGCGCCTCACAAAGAACAATGTCATGTAGCCTCTTCACGGAGACATCTGAAAGAGAAGGAATTCTCTACGCTCCGCCAAACATCAGTCGAAACAGCATGTTATTAACTATTTGCTCATTTCCATCTAAGGGTGTTTTAAAAAAAGGTAGCAACAACGTCAAATTCATTATAAAACCCCTGAATTTGGCTTGTCCAACCAACTAGAATGTTTGCAAGCGCAAGAGTCGCAATGTCTTTGGATAAAGTCGCTTCAGACTAAATCACGTAGCTCTATCTATCTATAAACTTTTCACGAATTTTTTCAGATAGGATCCCTCAACTCTGGTAGAAAGCAAAAACTGGGCTTAAAAGTCGCTTCTAGAGCACTTTCCATCCCTGCAAGTTAAAATGGATTGGGATGCTGTCCATAGAACCAGCGGCTTGATTAAAATGAGCATTTTACGAGGCCAGTACCGCTGGTTTATAATTTTTGCGGGTCTACCGACGCAATATAGCTCCTTTCGCACACTGGGTTAAAACTGGGGGTCACCGAAATAAAATTACTTTCT